GGATGCTTTAGATTCTAGAGAGCATTTGATTGGACAGAAGATGTGATGAGAAGCTGAAGTCCGTGGTGATGTCATAAAAATCTGTGATCCATTTTAGCGGAAGTAAGAGACTGTAAGTTTTGAATGCTTATATCTCCTAAATCCAAAATTTTGTCATTGTTTTGGAGCACACTAGCTTATTCATAACCCTAAGGTTAACATATCATGCTAAAAGCTAAAAAATAATAATTTTGATTTCAGTGGCCCTTTAAGGAAGTTTGAGTTGGAAAAATGAGGATTCTGAGAAACTAAATTTGTGTAGATAAATATGTGTCTACAAATACAATACACAAATGTACAGACGTCACATAGGGCAAACTGTATTAACATTTTAAGAGGAACGCTATGCAAACATCAAACATTTAGTAACTTACTCTTTGCGCTATAAGTCAAGTGCACCTTCAATATGTGACAATATCCGTGTTCTTGGCTCATTTTAACCAGATCATTGAATCAGTGAGTTGTTGACTCGGAATCTGTCCGATTCACGATTCTTTGGAAAGAATCAACTCGTTCACGAATTATCATCTACCAACCCGAACCCTAACATCTAATAACCTAAGAGTCTACAGTCAACTAATACTCTAATGAGAGTTAGTTGACATGTAGTTGCAAAGTTACTTATAGTTAGTAGACTGTGTAAAGTGGACCATCGAAATAAAGTGTAACCCTAAAGTGCAATACCTCATCTTCATTGAGGTGGACGCTCGCTCTTCAGAGTCACAGTGGCCTCCCTCCAGTCTCTCTTGGCTCAGGCCCTGTCTTTCCATCCTGCACAGTGTCAGCTCAGAGGACCAATGCTCAACACAACTATCCAAGCAAGTGTCAAAGTGTGCAAGCCATTGCAAAAAGAAAAATGAGCATACATACTCATGTAGATGCAAGCACACATACTCATTTAGACACACTCACATCTCTTAACATTTGTCTTTGTCACTGTACAGGAGATGACCTTCCTGTTTTCCTGTGAAGCTCAACACACACTGCAGTTCAGTGATCAGTAGACATACACAGTGATTCAATAGCGCCATCTTGAGGTTGGTTGTGGTACACACAGACTGATAACAGAGGAGAGGATTTAGAAGATTATCCTACACAGGACTTTAAACCTCTCACACAGTCAAAAATACAAAAAGGGACCATGGAGTACATTTCTAAATAGGTATATAAAATATAAGGTACACTACCATTCAAAAGTATTTTTACATGCTCAACAAGGATGCATTTTCTTTCATGATAAATACAGTTAAAACAGTCAAATTGTGGAATAGTATTGCAATATCATATAACTGTTTTATATTTTAATATATTTTAAAATGTAATTTATTCATGTGATGCAAACCTGATTTTTTTTTAGCATCATTACTCCAGTCTTCAGTGTCACATGATCCTTCAGAAAAAAAAATATGCTGATTTGCTGCTAAAAAAAACAAAACCATTTCTGATCAATTTCAATGTTGAAAAAAGTTATGCTGCTTAATATTTTTGGGTAAACCATGATACATTTTCTTCAGGATTCTTTGATGAATAGAACGTTCAGAAGAACATGTCAGGGTCCTGTCACTTGGCCCTTTGATTAGGGTTTCATGACAGAATCCTGAAACTTATGTTCCTGTCCTTGTATTGTGCTCGGTTGGCATCCACTCGGCTTCAGGGGTTTTCCCCCTTGGCTCTGTGCTTTCTTGTCATTTGTCCTGTTTGGAGCATGAGGTCTGGATCCTGACTTCCTTTCTTGTTTGGTTTCGCTCCTGTGTTGAGCTCCAGATGCCCATTCTCCATGTCTGTTCTGTGTTCTTGTGCACATGGCGGGGGTTGTTCCCAGGGGCGCTGCTAGACATTAAGCTCTACTGGGGCATAGGCCCCCCATTGTTTGTCTGAGATAGCAAGCGTAACTAAGGAGGGCGGGGCTTACCGATAGATAAATTAAATTTGTTTGTTTCAAAAACACCATGCTGGGTATAGAGTAACTTAGGGGGGTTCGGGGGCATGCTCCCCCGAGAAAATTTGGATTTCTCGGACCTACATATGTGCATTTTAAGGTGTTTGAATGCCAACAAATTGGATAACAATAGCTTTAAAATCATGTTACACGAATTTCTTTTTTTTTGTGCCATAAAAGGCAACACTGTATGAAAATAGAAAACTTTAGAAAATAGAAAACGGAGAGAAAACGTTCTTGCACATTTGCATTCTTCTACATTGCACAATGTTAATAATGAATAATTAGCCTTTATATTTTTCAAGAATTTACAATTAGATCATTTCAATAAATCAATAAAGAGTTAATATATACTATATAAAATAAAGAGCATGTATATTCTAAAAGAAAACAAAGTTCCCCAGCCAAGTCCAAACTAAGTTGATTTATTTGTTGAGCATTAAACTGTAGGCTACCGCCTATGCTTCATTTTGGCAAAACGGTCAATCACTTGACTCTGACTCAATTTTACTTTTAAGATTATTTGTATTATTTAGAAACTTTTGTTTCGTCATGTTTTCATAGCCTACCTCGCGTGCCAACACCGGACTTCGGTGTGCTCAGATGTGTGCGCGCTGCTGTTGCTAGGAAACACAGACGCGCGCGGATTTCTGTCGCGTGGGTCAGCTTCTGTTTCGGTTAAACTGCGTTGCTTTTACAAGCATTGATTGGTTTATTACTGCGTTGCAAATAGATCATTTTATTACCCTATAATATAATTTATATTAAATACACTGACAAATAAAATAAATGGTTAAACTCAAACTTCAGATTTACTGGGGCACAGCAGATTTATACTGGGGCACGTGCCCCAGTAAAATGGGTCTAGCAACGCCCCTGGTTGTTCCCCTTGCCATTGCTCTTGTCCTGTTATGTTTTGTTTGTGCACATGGATTGTGATTGTGTTCATTGGCCTTGTGCTTTTTGCTATATTCATTCTGTTCAGCAATGAGTCTCTTTAGGAAATTTGGACTAAACAACTCAAATCATATGGATTAGTTTTACAATCTCTATATAAACTTTTTGAAGCGTCATAGCAGTTGTGTAGCTGTCTATGTAGGGATGAAGCTGTCTTCATTTGTGTTCCGAAGATTTGCGTAATCTTACGGGTTTGGAACGACATGAGAGTGAGTAGTTGTTAAAATAATCTTCATTTTTGGGTGAACTATCCCTTTAAATAAACTGCACTTGGGTTCTTTACAATTTGCCAACTGTGGATATTTAGTACAGCTTGTTATATTATAAACTTATTCTGTATTGTCAAAACCAGCATTGTAGAAGATATACAATTAAGTTCATGTTTAATTCTAATATGGGTTCCAAAATGGGGTGTGAAAAAGCATTTTGAGGACAAAACTAATTATAAAAAAAATACACAGAAATGAGATTGTCCACTGACAGAAGAGTACATTAAAGACACTTCTGCTATTGAATGAGAAAACTGCATAAGTCATGAGGCAATGAATTTTTTTTTTCTTTCTTGTTCGCTCCTGACCTCGACAAAGTGATCATGACAACATTTTCTTGTGATCTCCACATCATTAAAAAGTTTTCTTGTGATATTGATGCAATTTTCTTGTGACCTCAACATGACGAAAATTGTATTCCCATGATCTCAACATAAACACCTGAGCTGTTATATATATAACCTTTATTTAAACAGGAAATGTCCCATTGAGACACAGTCTCTTTTACAAGGGAGACCTGTATAGCACAATTTTCAACCATGAGCTGAAAAACAATACATTACGTAAATTAAAATACAATACAGATTTACACAAAGTTTACAAAATATTTACACAGAAAAAAATGCAATGAGTTTAAAATATATAAACAAACCAAATAAGGACTAAAAGTCGAGATCTACCTATAGCATTAATTAAAACAAGTGCATGTCCGTCAGCATGTCTGATATTGTTTTTTTTTTTTAAGCAGCTAAGGAAATTAGCGCACCAATCTTAAACCTAGACTGGAGTTCGTTCCAGGACGAAGGGCCATAGTAAGACACACTCCTCTTTCCTGCTTCTGTCCTCATTCGTGGTATACCTTACAAAGTAGTCCTTCACTAGATCTTAAATGATACTTTGTATATGAACTAATTTTAAAAGCTTTATAAATAAAAATGTGCCAATGTAGCACCCTGCGCACTTTGAGAGACGGCCAACTTACCCTACTATAAGATGCAGTGATGTGTCTGATAGCCAGCATTTGTGATGAACCTGAGAGCCGCATGATAAAGAGGGTCAAGCATTGACAGAGTAGATGGACATACAAATTGATAGATGATATCACCATAATCTGAGACAGGAATAAACCTGCAACCAGTTTTTTTCCGTGTAGTCTTAAAAAAGCAAGATTTCAATCTATATAAAAATGCCAGAGTTATTAAACAGCAGCCCTAAATAAAATGCCTTTTAGGAGCACCGTATATTGCTGTAGACTTTTGTTGGACAGAACCTGTCCTACATGATGAATAAAACTCACAAATATTACACTTGTAAAATAAAATATTAAAATTAAATTAGAATTTTATAGAATTTTATTTAAAAGAGATGAGAAAATACAAGGAGCTGTCTGAGGCAGAATGATTTCTGAAGGATCATGTGACACTGAAGACTGGAGTAATGATGCTGAATATTCAGCTTTGATCACAGGAATAAATGACATTTGCTGTATTAAAATAGAAAACAGTTATTTATTTGTAAATGTATACATTTTTAACTGATTTGAATTATTGATTAAGAATTTAGTTTTAAAAGTATATGTTTGGATGAGAGGAGGTGATCCTCTCACCGCTGTAAGGTTCTGTCTTTCTCTCATTCCCATTCTTTTATATCATATTACAGTCTGTTCATACAAGGACTTCTGCGTGTTTAAAAACTCTGAAATTGGTATGTAAATTGAATTCATTCTCATTTTTTATTTTAACAAATCGAGGGAGGAATTGAAATGACTATGTATGACAAATTTCCTGTTTTTACAGTGGGAGGAGCCGTGTGTGTGTATATATATATAAGAGATACAGTCAGAACATCACAGGACAGCACAGACAGCAGCAAAACACAATCCACAAAGAAGAGACCCAGCAAGGTAAATGTTCTTATTCTCACTGTTGACTTTAGACCTTGTCACATTATCAGTAATATCAAATTAGACCTTGTCACATTATCAGTAATATCAAATGTTAGAACAGATGGAAAAAGTTCCAAAACATTTTTTCAGTAATTTAATAAAAAATAAAAAAATAAAACAGAAACATACAAACTAATTTCAGATAATATTTTGCTGTGATATTTTCAGATGTTTCCAGTGCTAATGTTCCTCATGGCAGCTCTTGTCGCTGCAGAGCCACTGATGGATCTCTCAGGCCCAGTAGAGTCTGATAGTGACTCTGTCTCTGTGGTACGCTGTGATACTTATACTGTGTGTCCTGATGGAACAACGTGCTGTCTGAGTCCTTATGGCGTGTGGTCCTGCTGTCCGTACCCAATGGTAAATCACAGTAAACTGTGTAACTTTTTTATAGTCTATTAAGTTTAAGGTTTAACCTTTGTTTGTTCTGCCCACTCCTTCAGGGTCAGTGCTGTAGAGATGGAGTTCATTGCTGCCGTCATGGTTATCACTGCGATTCGACATCGACTCAATGTTTGAGGGGGTGGATGAGACTGTCTTCTTCTCCTCAGCCGGCCTCCAAAGCTATCCAGAAAACTCAGGTATGTCAGTACTCTGCCTATAAGTAAAGCAACCTGCAACCAGTAAAGCAACCTGTCATGTTACAATGACCTACATACTAGACAATCTTTACAAACCATGTCATATGACTTCCAATCACCATTTCCGGCAGTTATAAAACATGGTTGATAAATAAATAGTGAACAATAAAAAAGGAATATGATATGACTTTTGTACCAATTAAATAAATATTTAGGGTTCAAAAACATTCTATTTTCTCAATTATCATAAATTGATTTCAGTTTCTCCCCCCATTTGTTAAAATAAACAATAGGGCAGTGAATTCTGGGCAGTTTAAAAGCTGAAATATGCTTTAGTTAATTTTATTATTAGTCTATTTAAATTTGAGCTGTAAAAAATGAAATGGTTCTTTTAGAGATTTTTCTAAGAAGGTGAGTTTCTGGTTATGTGTTTACTAACATAATTCCTGTGAATGTAAATGACCAGGCTCTTGAAAGGCAGACCCAGACTGAGACTGTTCATTGTGAAGGAAACATCTACTGTCCAGCTGAGAAGTTCTGCTGCAAGACAGCATCCGGCCAGTGGGGGTGCTGCAGCGGTAAAGCTAACTTCACCTTGCTGTATTATTAATCATGCTTAATCATCAAGCCAAAATGATAGATTTAATAAGCCTACCTGTATAATTATAATAACAACTCGTGCATCAAGTTTTGTGTTTGCTTATATTAAAAGTTGTATTTCTATTTTTTATAGGGTTGGTGTTGTAAGGAAACAACTCCCATGACTTCTTAACAAAGACTGTCAAAGTGTGAAACTCTTGAGAGAACAGATCAACCCAACATCCAAACTAAATTCATGTGAAATAAAAATGGATTTTTAATCATCCACCTATACATGGTATTTTGTTCATTTTGTTGACTGAATAAAGGTTTATGAATGAATCTTTTAAGGGAAGTTAAAGTCTCCTCCATATTTTTGTTCACTGAAGTCTCCTCAGCTAAGCTGCATTCAGAATAGAATAGACTACCACACTACTGTACGACTTACTGTTGTTGTAGCATATAAGCCTACTGTGCATATGCTATACAGGAAAAATCTGTAAAATAAAACAGTAAAATTCAGTACGATTTTTTACGCATAACCTTTACTCTGGATCACAAGCTTCTTTCGTGCATCATGTTAACAAGAAGAAATCCAGTCTTGTGCAAGTACTGTTCCACACATGATCTTAAGTTGTTTCCTGTATCAGTTCTTGCATTTGTTGTCAACAATTCTGCCTATTGAAATGCAGTGTTGGGGAAAGTTACTTTTAAAAGTAATGCATATTGCATTACTCCCTAATAACTAATTGTGTACTTGGTTACATTTTTGGAAAGGAGTGCATTTTGGTACTTTTGCATTACTTTTCTCACCTGGGCTGGGCTTACTTGTTTGTTTTTTGATAACAAAAAAACCCAAACGTTCTATTTCTGACAAACGTAAAGCAAAAGCAAAAGGAAAATCAAATTCACAAATGCAGGTAAAGAAAGTTCAACAATCTTACTTAAGGAAAAAGAATAAACTCAAATGTGGTTCAACTTAAGTCATTTTTGCTTATTCGTATGGTTAAGTTGGATCATCAATAATAAAGTGAGATTAAATACACAAAGTATATTTGTATTGTTTAACATTTAATTTTTGCAGGTTTGCATAATATTTTGATTTCACATTTGCACTGTTTTTATTCATTTTGAGGAATAGTGAATCTATTTTTTTTTTGTGTGTGTGTGCAACATTTAGTTTAGCTATACTACAAATTTCTCTGGGACAGGAGAGCTGTCAGTCAATAAATGGCAAAAATCCAAGTTTACCATGCATCTGTCACAACCACTGATGGACGAGGACACAAAGATAACTGTTAAACAGGCTTTATTTATACACTGATGCTTAACCCGGATACCGGGAGGCTTCAAGATCAGCACTGTTGAAATCAAGGGAACCAGAGTCTTTTAACAAATGCAGGAACAGAAACAATCTCTTGATACTTGAACAGGAAGATTCAGAGATACTACATAAACGTTGACTCGCAGAACTCCGAACTTGGTTGCAGATACGTAGATACTCAGGAATTGCATATAGATTCATAGATTCTCAGAACTTGGGTATAGATACAAAGATCTTCAGAACTTGGACACTGCTACGTAGATAGTAGATACAGAGGTCCGTTGATACTCAGAACACAGGGAGGATGACTGGAGAATCCTCGAGAGCCACCACACACTGAAGCTGCTGAGATACACACACAAGAGTGATTAGTGATGAACTTGATAATACTTGCTGTGAGATTAGAGATATCCTGGAACCAGACTTGATGTATGTAAGCCAAGGAGTCACAGACGTCGAATGACGAGACCGGACACAGAGTGCAGGGTGAGTGAGGCTTATATCCAATACTGGTGTGTAGAGTAAAGTGATGAGGTGCAGGTGCTGTGAATTCGTAATTAGTGAGAGTGCGTGCAGGTGAGGACCAGGGGAAACCGTGACAGCATCATCTCAGAGCAACAGTATACATGCTTGGAAATAAAGCGTCATGTATTTAATCCATACATGGCTGCGTTCAAAACCGCATACAACTATAGGGAAAAGCAGTAGGCGAGAGAATAATGTACGAATCCTTAGTATTCATAAAAGAGTAGCCGAGAATTACCTGACATACTAATTCTCGCGAGATTCGGTGCGTATACTAATAGTCCGTTCGAATATGCCTACTTATATAGTCGGAGAAAATAATATGTGAAAGGAGAAGTATGTCCGAAACATCAGTATTCATAAAAGAGTATGCGAGAAGTTAATTTAATTTATTAAATTAACTCAAATAATTTTTTTATTGCAGAACTTGGTTACATACAAGATCATGGAAATATACCATGGTTGTATCTTTAACAATGAACAATCATAATGACAAAAACAAACAGAAGACAAATATCATGGGTTTGCGTATATCATAATATGAGATTATACACACAGGAAAAAAAGAACAATGACGAGGTTAAATAATAATTTATCATAATACATAAATTCATTTTTGTTGTTGTTGTTATTTATAAGCCCGAGGGATGAAACGAGAATTAAATTCAACAAGAAAAAGAGAAAAACATAAAGGACAGCCCTTGGGGGCTCAAAAGGGCTTTTGCTTGTGGGTGAACATTTTTGTATATAAAATAAAGAAATGAATAACATATTCAAGAGATGATGATTTGGGGTTTTCGTAATAAAAAATAATATCTTTAAGGATAAAACTGTGGGTCACATTAGTAGGGTTAAACATATAAGAACTTAAATCGACCCTATATGTATTGGCTACCACAATCACAAAATAAATGGGCTGTTTTTTCAACAAGACAACCAAATGAGCAAGTTTCATCAAGATCAAGATATTTACAGAGTAAACCTATTATTAAACCTGATTAAACCAGTATTAAACCTGACCCTCATATCTTTTAAGTTGTTGCGCTTGTGATCAGAGGTGGAGAGTAAAAGCCTACATACTTGAGTACTACTTTTTGGCCTAATGGGTGGAGATTATCCAACCAAACAACACAATTTGGCTGGATGGGACAGCATGATTTTGGATGATTGGGACAGTGCCTAATTAAGAAAATGATTAACCTTGCAATAGAGAACCATTGTTTATGCTCTGTCTGCTCTAAATCATTAGTTCCCAACATCTTTATTTGTGCAAGCCCTAATCAACCACAAAAAAATAAAAATAATTATGAACTAGCTAGATTTTGCTAAAAATAAAATGACCAAATTCTGAAAATAGAAACTTAGATAAACATGTTTTACTGATTTTGTTGCTGTAATAACAAGTGTGTAAGTGTGTTTGTGTAAGTATATATTTGGGATCAGTTTACCTAATGTTTTTTGTAAGAATTTTGGTCCTGAAGCATTTTTTTTAATTGTTTATTTGATTTTTAATCATTTTTGGCCTTCTTTTACCTCAATTGCATGTGTTGTACTGTATGAATTGTGGATGGATATGAACATTGATAAATAAAGTTGAACAGAAATAAACACGACTCTAAATAATGAACAGAAAAAGAAATATTGCATATAAAATTATATCAAAGTATGAACTTACTTGTGCAATACAGTAAACACCTAAATGAATGAAAAGATGTGCTGTCCCAATCACCTAAACGTTGTGTCCCAATCACCCAAATATTACCAAAAGGCTCAGTTTACATAAAAGTGTATGTCACACATCCTTTCATTATAATATAAACTTTTTTTCCTGTTCAGATGGGTAGGTAACATCTTCAGTATTACAGAAATGTAACATGTGTTGGGCTGAGGTTTTTATTTATGGCAAGAAACCTTGCACAAGGCGGAAATTCAAAAACTGTCCCAATCATCCTTAATTCACCTATACAGGCTACATGAAGCGATCCACAGTAAATGCAGGCAAAGTTGTGTTTGTGTCAAATTGTACAAGCCATATTAGCAAAAAGACACTTATTATGGCAAGCCGTTTTAACTTTTATTCATTTCCAGGATATGAATACTTGATATCAACAATTACATTTTAGATATCAACAATTACATTTTTTGATATCAACAATTACATTTTTGATATCAACAATTACATTTTTGAAATCAACAATTCAATTGTTGATATCAACAATTCAATTCTTGATATCAACAATTGAATTATTGATATCAAAAATGTAATTCTTGATATCAACAATTGTATTTTCACTAGTGAAATGTCACCATAGACTGCCATTCAAAATCAATTGTTGATATCAAGAATTGATTTCTTACTAGTAGAAATATAATTTTTGATATCAATAATTACATTGTTACTAGTAAAAATGTGAATTCCTGATATCAATAATTAAATTATCACTAGTCTAAATGTCTATTTTTGATATCAACAACTGAATTGCTACTAGTAAAAATTTTCATTTTTGATATCTGAAAATGTATTTCTGATATCAATATTATTTCAGATATCTAAAATGGCTTTCTTACTAGTAACAATCACATTCATGATATCAGAAATTAACATTGTCACTAGTGAAAATTGAATTATTGATAACAAAAATGAACATTGTTACTAGTAGCAATTCAATTGTTGATATCAAGAATAGACATTTCAACTAGTGACAATTTAATTCTTGATATCAAAAATAAAGGTTTTTACTAGTAAGAATTGTATTTCTGATATGTGAAATTGGAATTTCAACTAGTAAGAAATCAATTCTTGATATCAAGAATTGATTTTGAATGGCAGCCTATGGTGACATTTCACTAGTGAAAATACAATTACAGATATCAAGAATTATAGTTTTTACTAGTTGCAATTCAATTGTTGATATCAAGAATTATCATTTTAACTAGTGAAAATGTAAATGTTGATGTCAAGAATTAGCATTGTTACTAGTGAAAATGTAATTCCTGATATCAAAAATTGCCATTGTTACTAGTAGAAATATTATTCCTGATATCAATAATTATAATTTTAACTAGTGAAAATTGAATTGTTGATATCAAGTATTCATATCTTGGAAATGAATAAAAGTTAAAACGGCTTGCCATACATGTGCACACATAATCATTTTGATACACTCACGCAATTCTTAACATCTGCCTTTG